CTGTGATCTAGTGATTGGTTCACCTCTCCCAGTTAATATAATGGCTTTCTGATAGCTTTTGAATTAAAAGTTTGTCATTGAAATGTCATGGTTAGTATGAACGGCTGAGAATTACTCTGAAGGTGCTGCTCTGGGCTCTGTCTCAGCTCTGGCTTTATAATTACACATTCTTCCAAAGTTCTTTCAGTATACCTTTTTGTATTGCTGTTTGCAGGAGAGGGAAGGGAACACATGTTGTGAAATGCAAGGGTTACACATTCTTCCAAAGTTCTTTCAGGGAACACATGTTGTGAAGTGCAAGGGGAGGAGTCCTAAGTTCAGATAGTTCAGTTAGTCCATTATCTGTATGAGAATGACTAGGGAAATATTTTCTGGCAGAAAATGCCAGCTACCTGAAGTTTTGGCTTATATCTCATGTTTTGTAGTATGTATATCTTCCAGCAGTCAAACTTTCTGCTTTATCGTCATATTTGAAGGTCGCTGGCTTCAGTTGCTTCAAATTCTAGAAAGTAACTGAAAGATTGGGTTGCTTTATGGCTTGAGCCTCCTTTCTTAAGCTTTATCTTCTTCCTCCTTTGTTTCCCCTATTTGCTGTAGCTGAATCAAAAGGGAAATCATACCATGTTGGCATGGGATGGAGTTGAAAACAAGTATTGGTTCCGCTGTCAGTGTTGTTGTTTCTGCCTGGAAAGCAGAGTCAGAGAAAGGTTTGGGACAAACTGAGGTTTGGGACACAAGTAGTCTGCCTGTGCAGTGTGTGATGTGGGTTTGAGCTGGTGCAGTCAGGCCAGGCTGGTCAGGAATTGCTGGAAAGTCGAGCTCAGGCAGGCTTGAGTGCTGCATCACTGGGGCACACCTGGACCAGCTGGTGTGCTGCTCAGCAAGGAATTCCTTATGCCAAAGAGTGAGGCAGACCAACACTGTCCTAAACCAGCTTCTAGCTTTCTAGGCTGCTGGTTTCTGAGTCGAGAAAATGACCTGCATTCGGGGAAAACATGCCTTGCTCAGGAAAGCTTACTCAGCTGTGAGTTGAGCTATTAGAAGGTGAAGTGTCTTCAGGACAGCTATGTAAAGTAGACGTGGCCCTTTTACCGCATGCTCTCAGAGAGTGAGACAAGGGGTAATAGTGCGAGTGATGAAACAGAACCACTGTAAGGAGGAAGTTAGCGCTTCCCTTGCTCGTCTGAGTTGGGAGAAGGGGTCAGGAGACATCTGAGTGTGCTGCAGTGCAACATGTCCAGGAGCCCAAGATGTTAGAAAAACCCCGTGCTTAAGTATTTCAAAGTTGCTGAAGGTTGCCTAACCAAGCTGAAATGGTGTATATGTACATTTCAATTATATACTTAGGCTTCAGTTATTCTTAAAATAAAGTAGCGAAATGTTTTTCAGAGTGTTGGATAGCAATTGCATATTTAGAGCTGGACTTTGAAACCTAGATGCCAAAAGAAGCCTGGACATGCATTAAATTCTCCTGAGTTCTTGTTTAAACACGAGACAAAATGGAATTATCAGTACTTAAACCAGGTTACTAGATTTTCATTGCACGATTTGGAATTTCCTTTAAGGAATTATATAATTTAGTAGGAAAAGTTGACCCAAACCAGAAGGTAAAGTGACCCAAACCAGAAGGTAAATGGAGACATTTGGTAGCCGCTGCATCAGTTCTCTTATTTGTAAAATACCATCATTGACATCTCCATGTTTAATTGCTGATTTGAGACTGAAGATTGGAAAATGTTGCTTAGACCCTTATTTCTAACAGTGAAACTACTGCAGTTCAACCAGATTACATAAATCTCTGCTGGGATTTCCCCTGTGCCCACCAAGATTATTTGGTCATTCTAGTGACACCTTTCCAAAAATAAAGGCATAATTGAAAGTTTGTTTTACAAAAATGACAGAGTAGTTAAAGGCTTGACTTGACATGAGTTTGAAAGGCACATTTCAGTAGGGTTAAGAGAATCCCCTATCTTACAGTTTGCAGAAGGGCTTGGATGATTTTCAGTTCTGGGGATCTAATAGAACATTTTAAATGGTGCCAAATGCGTTAGACTTGCGGTGTGCAATGGTTCCCAGTAGTCCATGACGCAAAAAAAACTGTGTAGGGAAGAAAATGAATAACAAAGAGAAGGATGGAAAGATGATTTTGTTAGGTGTGGAACTTGCCAAAGAGTTCTGATGGGTTTTAGTATCAGAAGTCTGGCAAGAGACCTTCTGCTTCCCCCATTGCTTATTCAAGGTGCAACATAGGGTTTCAATAAGCAAAAGTTGATGGCAATGTGTTTACAGGAGGAGAATTAAATAGTACCTGACACCCGGGCTGTGGATAGTGTGGTATCAATCAGTGAAGGCATAGATGGACCTTGACGTGGAGGGGCATTAACCTTCATGTAAATGATCTTGGAGATGTTGTGTGCTAAGCATCTAACGGATGGTATGATCCCAAGCGATGCAGGGCATTACTGCTGAGAGGGGAGTTCTGATCTTGCTCGTGCTGCTCACCTTGTACCAGTGCCTGTGTTGGGTCCTCTTCCCTCACCCTCCCCAACATTTTCTGCCTGGGAGAGTGGGGAAAGAAGTCACTTTTCTGCTGGAAAAGAAAGAACAGGTAACTTAGTAACTGCCAGAGCCAGCGCAGGAAATGACCAAGACCTACCTCCCCTGGCAGTAGAAGCAGCTCCCTCAGCTCAGTTGCTAACAGAACTGTAAGTAAAAGGTGCAGTTTCTTGAGCAGCATAAATTAGGCTTGCCCACAAATTGTGATCCTGGGCCTAGTCACCTCGTTAAAACCTGTGATTCAGGGCTTTGTTTTGCTTTTGCCAGGATAGTTTTCAACAGAGACGAGCAATCCGATGCAGGGTACAGTATAGCCCCCTGATCAGGGGCTGATCTAGCTTACAAGAGAGGAATGGTCTCAGTGGTAGTTTGTGGGGCCTCAAGTTAGTCACAGTACTACAGTTGGTGTAACTGCATTTAAGTCTGTAGCAAAACATTAATCAGCTTTCATGTTTAGGCAGGGATTTGTTTTTGACTGACTTCTGGGATCCTGCTGTTCTTTTTCAGAAATGTGCACTTGCTGGGAAGGGGTTGGTTTCATGTTCTTATGCAAGTCCGCTGTGAATGATTCCTTGTTCAGCATTTAAGTCTCTCAGAAAGCAAGTGTGTGTTATTTCCTCACAGATAGTTGTTGCTTATCAATAGTTGCTGTTTGCTATAATATGGGGGGTTTATTCAGAAGTTCTTTTTTGCAAGAACAGTAATGTGGTAGAAGAAATATTGCTTACTGATCATTTGCAATGTGCTCCTGTAGCTACGTTAGTTGTAGGTTATGGCTAGCATTTAAGTCTCTCAGAAAGCAAGTGTGTGTTATTTCCTCACAGATAGTTGTTGCTTATCAATAGTTGCTGTTTGCTATAATATGGGGGGTTTATTCAGAAGTTCTTTTTTGCAAGAACAGTAATGTGGTAGAAGAAATATTGCTTACTGATCATTTGCAATGTGCTCCTGTAGCTACGTTAGTTGTAGGTTATGGCTGTCATATATTTTGTTTAAAAGGGGGGAAGCCTTTATATCCAACTGGGCGTAGTGAGCAGGATTGTGTTACCCGGGTTCTGCTCTCTTGGTGTGTATACTGACTCAAGCTTTATCTACAAACTCTGTGTGTTCACAGAGTAAGCAAAATACACAGCGGTGCTGTTGTCTTTAAAATTGGAAAGAAATACCATCCTGTGGTGTGTGTGTGTGTATTTTTTGTGTGTTTTTTCTTTTTTTTTTGGTTTGATGTTTGTCTTTTGTCAGCATGTTCATGCCTTAGTGGTTTGGGTCTTCAGAGGAAATGGTGGAGTTGTTTTTCATGCATGTCAGACCCAGACACATGTATAAAACAACTCGCACTGTCTAAAAGAAGTTTGGGAAATTGAGGAGAGAATGTAACAGCTGTGGAATTTAAGAATCATTCCTAGAATACTTTATCAATACTGTGGGTAATTAATATTAGTAATCGTTTATCAATATTGTAGGTAATTAATATTAGTAATCGTTTACCTGATAAATCTATTCAAGAGACTATATAGTAGCCATGAAACTGCAAGACCTTTAGATGCCTGTGTGTCTCCTAGGAGATCTTTTTTCCTCTCTTTTTTTTCCCCTCCTCCTCTGTTTATTATTCCAAAATGTATAATGCAAGTAACTTTTGGGTGAAAGGGATGTTGAGACCTGTGTGAAATACCCAGTTGCTTTGTGTAACTGTTACTGGGAGCTCCTAGAGATTTCCTTGCAAAAAGGCAATGTGGCTTTCTGAAAAACGCATGAGATGACATCATCTCATTTGATGGCATGTTATAATACAAGTAATTGGCCTCTTCACAGGAGTAAATGAATTTCTTTGCCAAATCGCTGCCTACTTTAATGGCTATGAATCCATCTAGAAGATTCTGAGAAGCTAACAAATGCATGGAGGTGGGAGCAGATCTTCCAGACAATTCTGTGCTGGCTTTCTTTAAATCGTCTGTGATATTTTGGCAAGGTTATGATGCTGAGATCTAATTATTACATAGTCCTAATCTGTCTTCCATTTTTCTCTAAATTACTGCTCTATAAGATACACAAATCTCCACTAGAAAAAACTTTTCATGTCTTGACTATAACGTTATGCTAGATAATGCGTGAAGAACAAGGGGACTTTTTGGCTCTTAGTTCTGGTAACCAGAAAATTTTGAAAGTAGCTTGTACATGCTAGATGAAGTAGCACCGTGCAGTAGTAAATACTATTCTTTGAGGATTATTGTGAATATCTAGAGTAAGTGTCCATGGATTCTGTTTCTGTATTGTATAATAAAATGCCATCCGTCTTAGATTATGCCTGCATAGTGCATATAATGGTACTTACTCTGTGTTAATCAGTTAATATCAGTATTTAATTGTTCATGACTTGATGCATAAATAAGTTAACAGTGTTTGTAATAATACTAAAATAGTCCTATTGAACAAAACTGTTGAATAATTCATTGTGCTTTTTAGGTATTGGAGGTGATTTATCTCTTGCATCATGCGTGAATACAAGCTAGTGGTTCTTGGTTCTGGAGGTGTTGGAAAGTCTGCTTTGGTAAGTGCTCTAAGCCGATTCGAGAATGTTTTCTTAGGCTTCTCCTATCTTGCTTTTTCTCTTCTGTGCTCTCTTTCTGTTTTATGGAAGTGTGCACAAACGCTAACGAATGCAAGTAGTGACTGATGAGAGTTCCTGGCTAATATAGGTGTTCCCTTTACTGCACCTATCTGTCAACACTTCTTAGATGTATCTACATTCATTGGTGCCTGTTAAACACACATGCAGGTGTGTTTGGACTGGTTTGGTTGATGTTTCTTCAGGTGTTTGCCTGTTTTATGCAGTGAAGTGTCTTACCAAAGTGTTACAAAGGTCTCTGGCTTTGCGTGATAACCTTACCTTGAGTTTGTGAGAAATCAAGTTGAGTTGTGAAACTGGCAGTGCGAATGAGTTTGCCACTCTGTCCTTACTAACTTCTGCCTCCAGAGAATCTGAGGTGGTGCTTACTTATCTCTTGATGATGGTGCCAGAAGCACTAGTTCTTTTATGCTGGCAACTTTTATCCATTTACATATCTATAGATAGGTTAGCATGTTTGTTTTTATTTTTTTTATTTTTAATGTATTTCCCTGTAAGCAGTTGTGTAGTTGTAGCAGGTAGCCTACCATAAACCAAAGAGCCCATGCATTTTTAGCTAAACTCCTACAGAAAAATGTAGTTACTCTGATCCAGGCTAGCATTTTGCAGAACTTTTAGAGAGGCTGAGAATATCATATTATATAAACTTTAGACCTTTCAGTTTAATTTTGCATCTTACCAAGGTGTAGAGGTCCGCTGTAGTCAGGTAAGAAGTCTTCTCTTGCAAAGCAGTGTCTAAAGGAAAACTTTCTTGATAAATCATCTTAGATTCTGAAAGAACTATTTTCCTTCACCTCTAAATTCTTTATCTTACCAAAGCATTTCTTGAGTTGGACCTGTCCAATCTGACTTTGTCTTACGCTTTCCCTTTAACTAAAAGCATCCTACATGCTAGGTATACAGGAATATCTCACAGAGACTAGTTAAGACTACTAAAATTTTTCCCAATTTCTGTGCTGATAAATGAGTAGCAAAAAATGCAGTAGTTACAAATGCAAATTGTAAAAGCCATGCAGCTCTGCAGTATCCTATTCAACAAAAAACTAACAAGGACACCAACCTTCAGACAGACTTTTGAAATAAATGCACGTTTTAATTCTTATGCTCCAAATGAAGGTGGACAAAAGGTCTAGTGTTGCTTATTTAACAATACTTAGACAAATGGGCATATACCTCTACCTTCCTTTAATTTCTTTTAGTTTATAGTTAAATCAATCCCTTAACTTGTTTTCAGAAACTTGCCTGGTAATTAAATATATACATAGAACAGTAATTTGGATATAATGTTTATGAAATTTCAGTAAGATCTTTATCGTATACTGATATTTTTGTGTTGCAGACTGTACAGTTTGTTCAAGGAATATTTGTTGAAAAATACGATCCTACGATAGAAGACTCCTACAGAAAGGTATATGAGACAGATCTCTGTACTGTAACAAAAATTAAGGATTTGATATTGTCAAACACTGGAGTCATGGGTTGAGAAAAGGGTATTCCTGGTAAATGCCACATAATATCTGGTAACTTAACAAAGTTGAAACGAAAAGATGCTCACTAATGTATTGTTATGCTTGGTGTTAGTGTTGTTGGTCTATTGAAAAATTTTTCTAAAAGGAATAATTCAAGACTAGAGTTTTAATACTGTGTTGCTAGCTAGCAAGTGAAAATGGTATTTTTATGCTCAGAATTTCAAAAAAAAATCTACTGGTTATATATTTTTCACTTGCATCATCTTGAATCTCCATACTGCTCCCTTAACTAGTTTAAGCTGAGACCATGAAGTTGAGCTGGCTTTATACTTGTGTGGTGAAACAGATTAGTTTTCAGCTGTGTTTTTTTTATTATTATTTTTATTTTTAACCTGAATTACTTTTCCAATATATTGATTCTCTGCAGCTCACTATGTAGTCACAAAAATGCCAGTGCCTTCTCAAGGGAGGAAAGATGCACCAACCCTTTCTGGGGTTGGCAAGAAATGGCAGCACCTCCTCTCTTGGCACTAGCCTGCATTTGTGCTGGAGAATTACTGAGAGTTGGTGGAAGTCTGTATGCTGGGAAACTCTAGTCTGTTTTAAGCATATGGGGAATCAGCCAGAGCCAGAACTGTCATATTAAAAAGACAAGAGCAACAACAGATTCTGTCTGACAACTTCCTTCTTTTAAGTACATTATATTAGAGGAGCAGGAGTTTTGGACCCTATCCAGCTGTTTGGTGGGTTGACCCAGCAAAGACCTGCAATAAATGACTGTGGAAATTGCAAGCTAAACCAAACTGAAATATTTATTTTATTATATATTTACATTCTTCAGATCATGTTAAATTTGTGATGTTTGTTGAATGAATTTTCAAAAGAAAATTCCACAAAGTTTCCATGGACCCTGAAAAGTAAAGCCATCTCAAGCAATTGTGTCTTTTGAAATTTTTTTTAAGCAAAGATCTTAAAGATACTCATTTTAGGTTTGGTCCTGAAATGACTGTGAATATCTCTTTGTAACTTTGTTTTCAAATCAGTCTGCTGAAATATGGCTTAAGTCTGGACAGCGCTTTGTGCAGTTATGTTTTTTCCCCTCACTGCTAGCTAGTATTTTAAGTTGCTTCTTGACTTGCGTGTTTTAAAGCATTTTGTTTCAATAGTTGCAGTTTGGTACTGATTAAGTCTAAATTTGAAATGTTTGAAGTTGAAAGGATATGACTTTAAATATTTAAAGTTTGTCTGAAACTGGATTCTAAAGCTAATTGAGCATAATGCCTTGAAGATTGAAGCCTTGGTTTATTCCCCGAATATTTCTCCCTGAAGAGAATAAATACTGCTTAGCTGGCTGAACACCATGTATTTGTCAGCAATATATAGTAAAATAGTGGCTATTGAGGGAATCCCCCTGGCAGGGGCTCTATATGAGACAGAGGGAAAAAAAGTGAGGGAAGGCAAAATTTATCTCTTTTCCTCCTGAAACTTAATTCTAGTTACAAAAGTCATGCCCATAGTTAAGCTAGTGATAATGCATATATCGGGGAGGAAGAAAACAGAGCTCTACCGGAGTGTTGATCAGCCAACTAGGAATTTTACATGCAAATATGAAGCAGTGATATGTGCTGATAGCCTAAAAGGGGGAAAAATGTGGGCAGGTTGTGTTGTGTTACTTCCGCTAAAGGTCTTCTCTCTTGAAGCAGCCTCGGAGCACTTTTATGTTCTTTGCTGCCCTCATGACCATTTTTCTGGAGGTCAGAACTAGATTGAGGACGTGGGAACTAGATAGAGGGACTGATCTGATTTAACCTTATATTTATGGAGGTTTTTTTTAAAGCTAAAAAAGTTTCCCAATTAGAGTCACTATTGCCTTGGTTTTGGGAAACCAGCCATGCTGGCTTGCTCGGTGTATTGTATACTATGAACCTCTCCTGCCATTGTTGATCTAGATTACTCTTAAATGGCCATTAATGTGGCAGTGCAGCTATACAGCTTTCATGTCTACTTTTCAGTCTATAAATGATCATTGAAACAAAGAGAAATTGGTTGTGCTAGTTGCTGGTAACCATTATTGCAAATTTAGCAACCTGCTTTTTTCATAGACAGAATTGCCTCATCACTTTGGTACTTGACAGCTGAAG